TTCTATGTCCTGACCACCTCACTGTTGAACAAATGATGTTAATTGTTTGAAATTTCACCACATAAGCCTCTGTAAGTTGACCAACTCACTATGTTGACCACTTTGGTCCAGTCTCTTGAGGGATCAACTTACGGATGTCTTACTGTATATGTGTCGAGACAGGGGCCACATGCTCCTGCTGCGGCTAACATCGTCTAGCCGTCTCCCAATGATCATTGTTCACATTGTTTGGAGCAGACGTGCTATATCTCCACAAACTGTTCGGAATGGTGGGACAAATTCCCGTTTGACGGTAGTTGAGCAGTTTTAGAGCCAGGGCAATTCACATAACCTCACGCCCACGCAGCGATAAAGACACAAAATTGTAACTTCAAATCCTTCCTCTGGAGATGAATTTTCAGATTCGCCGGGTGTAATGAAAGCTATGATAAGTTGACAGCAGACACTTAGGTTGCTTGGACGCGGTTCACTCGTTAAACCTGGCTGGAAGTTCTACCAAGCTGGTCAACGCACGAAATAGTCAAAACGACTGTGTAGTGGCTATGACTAGCATTCAAGTTTCCCGAATTCGCGGCTCATAAAGTACCGGAACCTGCAGCAGACATTGCTAGCAGTCGTGATCAGAAATCCGAATCAGTGTCGGATATGTGTGACTGTGATTCCCTGACCATCATTTTTTCCCTCCACCTGCTGGATTTTCACTGACCGTGTTACATAGACATGATTTGGGATGAGCGTTTAGCAGTTTGCACATGCATTCTTTTTCGCTTGAAGAGGGCAAACATTAGGCCAGTGCACTACTTCCAGCCATGAGCCGACATTTTGAACCGTTTACTAAGCACAGAGAAACGTGGTCATCTTATGTTGCCAGTTCCAGTGTTCCACCGCTAATCTGTCTGCAGTAACCGAATAATAAAACCCAATTTTCCCAAAGGCTTCATGAGATTACCCACTGGATCCATCCTGAGTACACCACTTCTGTTCCACCTGAGCCAAGACGTGGCCAACTGACGCGGAGCCAGTAGTTCCGGATAGTTCTCCGTTTACATCATTATTTCACCTCAGATAATCAATATCCATATGTCACAAACAGTGCACCGCGCTTTCAAAAACACCGCGTCCAAGCCGTCATCAGCAACAAGCTCCAATCTGTAGCCATACCTTCTCGTCACATCCCGCGATTATTGATCTGTCTCTGAAATGTACTAGTATAAGGTATTAGAAAACGGCCTCATTAACCAACGAGTGATTTCGTATGACGGAACTCCGAGGTGTTGTCCGGCATTTTCTGTCGAGGAACACCGTTGTATCTTCTATTAGGCCACACACACAAATGTCACACACAGATATTACAGATAACAACCGAACGATTTCCTGGATGATTCCTGGCCCGAAAATAACCTTAATAACGGTGTGTATGGTGCCGAAGTATGTACTGTTTGCTCTATATCGTAGATACAAGTCAGTGGTAAAAATAAGGACCTGAACCTTGCGACTGATGGGCACGGAATGATCCCAGGGCATTCGGATCCGGACTTCATGGTACCTACTGAACTTTGACCAGACTCGACAACTGGATACTCAAATATGTGAAAAGACACTATATGCTCTTATATCCCCAAAGGCTTAACTGTGTTCTTTACTCAACCTTGAGAGGAAACCAGACAACGATCTTCTCTTTCACGAGAATCAGGTGACACACTTTGAATAACATTGACCAATAACCAGGGGCGCCTCAAAGCAGAGGAAATTGGACGTTGTTCAGACATACATATTCTCTACAGTAATTCATACGGATAGCTCCAGGGTGTCAGTATTCTAGGCTCTGTTTCATCCGAGTGGGGAGCGCGATATCTCACCTACGTCAAGGGGGAGAAATGAGTACGATTGTTTGGCTAGAGAATGGCAAGGAGCCTCTAGTGTCTAACCATTTTAAATTTCTTGGCTGGGATCAAACTGGTTATGCCACCTTACTTTACTTTCCAACAACGAGTAGCCTAAAAACTACTGATTTAATCTTTGGTGAATTTTGTGCTCTGCTTGTTCCGGTACATTCCTGGAAGCATTGGGATAAGTGCCCGTTTCGCCTTCCTTGAGGGTTGTGATGCAACAAATATGGCTCAGGTGCATAGTCAAACATATTTTGTAGACTGGCCAATGCTTGAATGCGCACTGTTCTCTTTGGGCTTGGCTCGCATCTAGCCTCTAAGGTACTACGCTTATATTTGAACCTAATTGCACATGAGTAACTGAGATAGCGCTCTCTGTGGCCATTATACCGGCTAACCGTGCTTCATGGTGGGGTTGGTGTTGCATACATCATGTCGCTTCACCGCAGTTGGGCTGCACCGACTTACACTTAAACTAGATCTTTTTAATCTAGATAAGATATGTTCCACTTTATTTGATTTACTCGGTCCTGTTAATCCGCTGCATATTCCGTGTCAATTTTGCGAGGTTGCCTTCCCTCAAATTCTATGTTGGTTTTTTGATATCCCCGGTGTGGCTGCGCTGGATGTGAATGCTGACAAGGTGCCTACCTGTCTAACGTCCTCCACCTCGATTACTGGCTCCAGAGACTGTGTATCGTTGCTGGGCTAGACGGGGTGCACGATCCTCCTGGCCGCGCTAGTCCCACAGTGCTTCCATCCAGTGTAGAACCGACTACGGTCTAGACACCGTCTTGTGTACGTTTGGTACGCATGATCCCCAAATTAGATAGACAGGAATTATGCTGATGTGCATGTTGAAGGTGTATTTCCGGCTCCGATGGTCAAACATGGCCCCCATCCACAAGCCTTCCGGTTTACTCCTTTGAGTTTACACCGGATATGAAGGGCGTGGATGGATCTGTGCGTGGTGCAGCGCAAACCACTCATGATCCTTCTGTAGGCACATGCGTCCTGTGTCTGTCCCCGTGAAGGTCGTAGTGACAGGCAAATCCGGAACTTGATGCCGTCAAGCATACCGGATAACGGCGACTCCGGAGAATATGGAGCACGCGACCACTGAGACGAAGTCACTAGTAATGTTGCCTTGTGTTCAAACGCGGAGCGAATTCCCTCGTTCAGTTCCTTATGCATAGCTTCTAATGGTTAACTGAAATAGTAAATAAGCAGGATCCTATGATTGATTTATTAACTGCTTGCTCCTGTAGAGCATTTGTTCTTCTACGATTTGCTATACCAGGCCCAATTGTTTACCGGAACCTTCTGAGTACTAAAAAAGGATCACAAACCCGTTCCAGGCAATAACCTTTTCGGTGTCGTGTGCTATCAAGATGCGCTCCACGACTATCACCACGCTAAATGCCCTACATATAGCACCAATATGGCTGAGCTTCGAACCTATAGGGTGATATTGGTCAACCTGGAAAACTTGTGCAGCACTATCAATCTTCGTACATCTAACACCGTGGTCCTGAGACGGTGCCGACCACGGTTTACTCCATAGCTAGCCATGACCCTGATTAGGGCGACCAAACTTGTCGTGCGGTAGACATACCACATTACAAGGTTGGACCCAGTTAATTTGCACTTAGAATTCGCGGGCGCTACTGATTTTTAAAAATTGTACTACTTGGACGTTTCGGGGGATGTAGTCAATTTATTGGCTCTACTGCATAGTACTACTGCAGTACTACTGAGCGCACTGTGATCGCAGGTCGGACCAAATCGTAGTGCGCAGCGTAGCTATTGGCACTTTTTGACTCCTCTGGCCTCCGCTCACCAGCTGAATACCACTGCCACAGATTTACTATACATTACACTTGTCTGGCAGTCGGTGACCTCCATACCAGATGGTCCCCGACTGAACTCTGAACGACGGAAAGCGATTGCCGAGTTAGGAAACACGCGATTACGCTAAATGCCCCATCTGTTCGCCCAGTAGTTCCACGGTGAAACGATAGCATGACAGGTGTATGCCGGGCAGGTGGGTACGGAGTAGACCGCGTTTATCGTTTCACTGAGCTTTAGTTACGTACAATGTTGTCATATTGCTATCGAACGAAGAAAGGACTAGGAGTCATCGTGGTATCAAAGGAAACAATGAGATTTGAGAAACCTGCTACGTTAGGACAAAGTTATTACCTCGATACTTGAAGTCGTACCTTGGTTTTAACACCAAACAACGCACAAAACCAACCAGGTCTGTTGAATGTGTGGCCGTCCCGGTGCAGATTAAAAGTCGAGTGAGCCTACCTGAATGACACATTCACACCGCACTCAAATTCAGTGTGGAATCCGAATGAGCTAAGAATGCACGGTGCAACTATGCGGAAGAGATAAATAAGATGCACGTGAAGAGTTAAGGACCTCCACGAGCTTTGAAACCACTGTGCCGTCAGCTTTATCGAAGCAATATGTGAAAACAACCAGGTCTATTACCGGCATCTTGAGTCTTGGTGATACCGGCCGCAGTGTATTGGTGCGGTACACTGTCCCAAGTTTACAACAACACATCATGTTTCACCCATCCACTTGTTAACGCATATTGAGTCTTGTGACCACGGGTTTGTAGTTCAACTGGCTTATCAGTACCCGCAGAGCACAGATGAAGGTGAGACAATTTACGGACTGGTAGACTGAAAGTGGCAAACATTGTGGAACCGCACCATTTTTAACTACGTACACCCATAATGAAAATTTTAACAAAGGTTGGCTACTTTGAGGAGCAAAACACCTGCGGTTACATCGCTACTGCGCTCCCCAGAAAATCATTGGGCTCACGTGATAGATAGTGACATGGATGAGAAGACGCCAAGCTCTCCTTCTCTGAATGGCTGCGTTTGCGTGTTCGCTGCAATGCATGCTGCGGCATTTTGCCATCTGATGACCGCAATTCCACTCACACACCGCAAGTATGAATAAAATTCCACGTTGTTTCATTCTGTGAACTCAGTGGAATTAAGTGCTACATCAGTGAGCGTGGAAAAAGCATGCAAATCCGTTTTGTTGCCTATGCGTCAGTGACTGCTTTCCTTTCATTATCCCTTTCAGCTCGACAAAGAGGCGTTCATTCCCATGGTGACCAGTAAACCCCCGTCCTCGTTTAGCGCTTCAGACACCAGTTCCAAGAGCCCACCTTCGGAGGTGTCGACTGAAGGCACAGTTGATGCACCAGGCAACGAAGTCCTGACAGTTGTTCGGCATCGTTCCCCATATGCATCCACGGACATTCCGAAGGCATGGGATTCAGTCTATTCATCAGTACATGAGAGTTTCGAGGAAAATCTTGGCGGACCGGAGGCGCCTTTAAAACTGATGCACCCATTTTACCCCCACAGTGAATATAAGGAGTTCCTCTTTCCCTCTTCGGCTTGTCGTCCAGCAGATGAGGACACAAGGCAATCAGAAAATTTGAGTTCAGTACTCTCGACATGCATGCGCTCTGCGAGATCCAGGTCGTCTTCTTTGTCGGCGTATTTTCAGGCGCGTTTCAACAACATCCAAAAAGCTGAATCACCTTTATCAACTTTTTTATTATCGCGAACTTCAGAGTCCATGCGTGGCGGGTTTCATGAGACTGACGATCCAGAAATCACACCCAATACCATAGATCACCTCTCGCCCTCACGTTGCACCCGGCCTTCCATACAGGCCGAGTCGGAGTTTTCAGAATTGAGCGGCTGTGCATCGTCCACATCGATGGATGCGCCTTATGTACTGGATTTTATGGACTCCATTCCTCCGAGTCACGGACCGTGGGGGGCAGGAAATTCAGTTAGTGACTCCGGTACGAACATCCCGGTACCTGGCCTTAATGGGGTGGCCAGAATATGCGCTGAACAAAGTTCTCGACCTTCATTCGCTGAAACGCTTCAAGCTCGACTGCATGCATGTGGCGAAAAGAAATTGCTCCAATCTGGTGAATATGCTGTAGACTCTGTGTTCTCTGTCTCATCCAAATTCCACTCAGATGTGAGGAATTCCGAAGGTACACCAATGGGAATGGTCCATCATCCGAACTTGTACGATGTGGACCAACGAAGTGACTCAAATATATTTCAACCGGTAGGGTACTTCCACCTTGGCCGATATCCTACACCGGTACATATAGAACGGGGAGTCGAACCGATGGAAGGTATCGAGCCACCCTTTTGCTTCTCCAGAACGTTCATTCCGGTCCCACCTTTGACGACATCTTTCCCCCCAGTGCCCCTGTATCATTCTCCGACCGCTCCCGTTGTGAGTAACTATCACACTTTGTCGCCGCACGCCAAGCAGATGGCGGATGACCTGGCTATTCCTACAGCCATCCCAACGCCTCATTGGCACTCAAACAGCGGACCTATTCCATATCGCTCACACGGCAGGTAAGTTGTGCTGTTGTGCTCTTGTGTGTGTAGAGTTCATGGTGGTGCGCACTAGACCGTACCTGAAGACTTGATGGGAGTATGAGATAAACAACTTGCGATGCTCTCACAAGAAAGCCAGCCCAGTCGGCTGCCATAACGGGTATCAGGAACTGGGATAACAGTGCATCCATTTATCTTAGTTAAAGTTGTCCGTTTTTTCAAACTCTGTGAATCAATACTCGAGGGGACATGTCCATTTTGCAGCAAAGTACAGTGCCCACTCGTTGTTTGTAGTAAACCGGAGAATCTGTTTAATGCTTGCTACGTTTTGCACTTTGAGATATTATTGCACAGCCTGTTTATATGGAGGACCACGAATTCCTTTAAAGGAAACACCATCATCTCCATTTCAGTGGGGCTGAGCCTGTAGTAGGGAGGTACATTGTGTAGATCGCTTTCATGAGTACACTTTACACTCGATTTCGCAAGCGGTTGAAAGTCTCTACAGAAGCGGCTCGGTAATTTTGGGGTTCCAACCAACCTGGCAGCCGAAATCACTCTGGTCTGCATTATTGTACCACACATCGCCAGAAGAGGCACACTGAGTTTGCAAACTAATACTTCAGTAGTGTGTGCGGGGATAAATATCATCATCACAGACCCACTGGATGGAAAGAACACAGGAAAATTAAAAGTAAAGATGTTCCAACGTGGAATGTGTGTGAGTAGGAGCGAATTGTCAAAACTTTCTTGTACAATGATACCTAGGTCTCGTTTGTTGTATCTACACGTACACTAGTCCCCTGCACGAAGGGTCTTGAACAAGCATGACCAAAGCCCCGCACGAGGAAGCAGAACTCTACTGGTACGCAACACAAATTTCTATTCACGCCAACGGTACATGCACTCAGTACATTCAAAACAACCCTGGTATTGATCGCGAACGGACAGGCATCCAACCACAAGCTACGAAGTGCGGTCGTGGTAAGGCCCGCGCGTACGCGCTGCCACGCTACTCCCCCTCTTCAGCGGTTGGTTCACTGCGGTGGCCCTCGCTTCAGGACACTGCTTCGGTTGAAGTGCTGAATATAGCTGTCTGGCTTTGACTCGTCGGCCGTCTGCTAACTCATAAGGTTCTGGCCCTAGCGCACGAGTAATTCTGATGGGTCTCGTCAGTGCCGGTTCTCCTTTACGTGTTTGCCTCTCCTTTAGCCTGACCAACGTTCCAGGACGCAGCGATGTGGCCCGTTTTTCGTAGGATGACTGATAACCCCGGCGACGTTCCAGTTGGTGGGGGTCGTTGTTTTCTGCAGCCGAAATAGCTGCGTTTAATTTCGTACGCAACTTCCTGCCAAACATCAGCTCACCTGGCGTGCGATCAGTCGCTCTGTGGTGCGATGTTCGGTGAGTAAACAGAGCCTCCAAAACAGCATCTTCCCACTGCCTGCCGGACAAACGTGCTGTCTGCATAGTTTCCTTTAGCGTGCGATTAGTGAGCTCAACCATGCCGTTGGCAGCTGGGTTGTACGGGACAGTATGTACGTGCTTCACATCACGAAGTTGTAAGAAACGTGTAAACTCATAGTTCGTGAATTGTGGTCCGTTGTCTGTCACGATTTCCTCAGGAAACCCAAATCTAGCAAACAGATGTTTCAGCCACCGTATAACGGTTGAGGTGGTCACATCGCCACACAAATGGATTTCCGGCCACTTACTGTAATAGCACGTGGCAACTAAGCAGTTCCTCTGGTGCTGTGGCGCAGAATGAAACGGTCCCTTGATGTCAATCGCCACCTTCGACCAAGGTTTCATTGGATAAGTAACAGGTTGGATGGGGGCATCGATTGGTTTGGAGCTCTTGTCGGCCTTCTGACATACATCGCAAGACCGGACACATGCCTCTGCCATTTTATTCATTTTTGGCCACCAAAAGTATTCTTGAAGTCGGCGCTTCGTCCGTACGATACCCGGATGTCCCTCGTGTGCACATTGGGTAATTTTTGATGTCAGTTTCTGTGGAGCTACGAATCGCGATCCTCGCATAAGGCAATCATCAACGACCGCTAGCTCATGTCGTAAAACATAAAACTCCCGTAGTTCTCCACTCAACTTCGCTTAGCGAGGCCAACCTTGAGAGAGATAGTGAATGACATCTTGCACATTTGAATCACTCCGGTTAGCTTCTTGAAGCTCTTGTTTAGTAACCGCGGAGAGCTCACTTGATTGTAAAGCAGAAATCATGACTTTTTCTTCGTCGTCTTCATTCTTGTCGAAATCATCCAATGGGAGACGTGATAAGCTATCTGCCATACGGTTATCGGAGCTAGGGCGGAAGATGATTTGAAAATTATAGTTCAGTAACCGCGCATACCAGCGGTTAATCCGTAGTGGCCTGTGACCATTGGTTCCTCGGCTGAGGAGGTAGTTAGAGCGGCATGATCCGTGCGCAATGTAAATCTCCGACCAAACAGAAACAGGTGCCATTTTTCACAGGCCCATACACAGGCAAGGGCCTCCCTTTCACCTGCGGAATATGAAACTTCAGTAGGGGATAACTTTCTAGAAGCATATGCAATCACTTTTTCCTCACCGTTCTGAATTTGAGACAAGACCGCTCCTAAACCGATGTTTGATGCATCCGTTGAGACGAATGTTGGGCAGTTTTCGTCGAAAATGGCCAGCATTGGGGTGGAGACGAGGCGTCTTTTAATTTCTTCAAAGGCCGACGGCTGCGAAGAGCCCCAATCGAACGTAGCTTTTTCTTTTGTCAGCATTCTCAATTACTCCGCTATAGTTGCAAAATCGGGCAAATAGCGCAAGTTGTACGAGCATAAACCAAGAAAGTGCTTAACCTCGGATGTATTATTCGGTACAGGGGCTTCCGTGATAGCTCGAGTATTAGCTGCGCATGGCCTAATTCCACCAGCTGATAAGACGTATCCAAGAAACTCGACATCCGTAGCACAAAATATACACTTTTTCAGGTTTAGCCGAAGATCTAGGCTCTCCAATCGCTGCAACACAGCGCGCAGCCTTGAGTCGTGCTCATCTCTTGATTTCGCGAAAACGCATATATCATCCATGCAAGCGATTTGTCCCGGTAGATCTGCTAGTGAGTGATTCATAAAGTTCTGCCAAGCTGGTGGAGCGGAGCTAAGTCCCATCGGCAAGACTTTGTACTGGAATAGACCACTCGATGTCAGAAAAACCGTAAGTGGTCTGGATTCTGGTGTCAATGGCATGTGGAAAAAGGCCTTCCTCAGGTCTAGTTTTGAGAAAAATCTCGCGCCAGTTATCTTGACCAACAACTTGTCAACTGTGGGAAGAACGAATTTTTCGACGACGATTTGACTGTTCAACGCTTTCAAGTCGTTGCATATGCGCACAGTACCGTCCTTCTTTAACACCGTGACCATGGGATGCACCCATTCGGAACAGTTAACTGGCTCTATCAAATCGTTGGAAATCATCTCTTTTATGGCCTTTTCTACTATCGTACGTTTGACCAATGGAATAGGACGTGGCTGCGAAATCGAAAACGGTTTAGCGTCCTTTTTAAGGCAGATAGAATCCGGCTAATCGACTCAGTAAATAATTTGGGATATAAGCTTTTAAGTAATGATCAGACCACATAGTTGGACTGCACCTCGAATCACCGAGGAATATACCATTTATTTATTTATTTATTTATGTATTTACTGATGTTTTGAGTGTCATGATGCGCATTCGCTCGATAGATGGTGTTATGTTGAGGGCAACCATAGCGCTGCCACATCGTTCACTTATCAACAGTTGCAAAGCGTGCTGACCCAGAAGATATGTGTCGCTAAAGCTGCTACGCACCGTTAGTATGTGGTATTTTGCAGAGTTCAGTGGGAGCTGCTTCCTTTCTGCCCATTCGTTAATTCTGTCCAGATCGTTCTGGAGATAGACACGGTCGAGTGCTGAGCGAATTGCTCTCGATTTTTTAGCATCATCTGCAAATGTCTGCATTGGGGGTAAAATGTTTTCTGGGTGGTCATTTATGTAAAGTACAAACAATAGCGGGCCGAGGACGGATACTTGCGGTACACCACTGGATACGCACAGGCTTTCAGAGTGAGTGCTGCCTATTCTTACCTGGATAGTTCTGTCCTGTAGGTAATCTTCCAACCAGGTGAGCAGGGAACCGTTGATACCCTACGCAGCAAGCTTTTGGAGAAGAACGAATTCATTGACCTTGCTGAATGCCTCAGAAAAATCTAAGTAAATCACATCTATGGGGACTTCGCTAGCTGCTTTGGTCCACGAATCCCGGACAAGCAGCAGGATGGTGAGGCAAGATGGTCTGCATCTGATACCGTGTTGGACATTGGAAATTAGTTGCAAAGTTTAAAATATCGCGTCAGTTCATCTACGATTACCGACTCCATCACTTTTCACGAAACAGGAAGGAGAATAATAGGTCACTAGTTGGCAGGATCCGATCTCTTATCTCTTTTGTATATCGGAGCGATTATTCCACCGTTCAGCTTAGATGAGAGTGTATGGAACTCAAACCGACCCTGAAAAACGCTGCGAGATGTGCTGCTATGGTGGGGGTAAGAGTTTTAATTACCTTAGGACAAACATTGTCGATTCCCGAGGCACTGTTTTCCCGGAGGGACTGTAAGTTGTACTGGACAGCCTCTGGGGTAAAGGTGCCATTAGCTAAGCCAACGGTATTTGTTTGGAGTTTATAGGAAAAAGTTTCCATGGTATTTGTAGCCACCGAGTCAAACTGCAAGCGTAGAGCTTTCGCGGTATCCACAGCAGTAGTCGTTAAGCCACTGGCTGTCTTGAGTGGAGGTATACCAGCTTTAACCTTTCTTTTATCGTTCACATACCTGTATAGCAGTTTGTTGTTACTCGCAAACTTGAGTACTATGTTCTTCTGCCATTTGTACTTGTCTACCCCAATAGATGACTTGCAGCAGTTTCTGATTGTTTTGTAAGTCTTCCCTAAGGCATCACATGGGTTTAGCGTATGTTGTTTCCAAATCTCATCTCTTCTGTTGAGAAATTGACGTGTTCTGCTACGAATCCAACTTTTGGTCCGGCGTGCTACTCGTAAGGGTACAACTTTTGAGGCCGCTTGTATGACCCGGTTTAACTTTACTTTTCAATTCATTCAACACGTGTTTTGATGAACTGAGTCTTTTCCGTAGTTTCTAATCCAAAGCGACTGGCACAGCTTGAGTTCGTCTCCGCCTTTTATCAGAATCGTCGCGGACGCAGTGAGGTTGGTTACTTGCCAAACTGTTCAGATATCTTTCACAAAAATAGCAGATTGAGTCCCCAACTGCGGGACTCAAACTGAAGGCCGACCTTAGAGCGCAACAATGGCATCGAGCATAGCAACATGAGCTTACATGTTTTGGACTTGCATTAAATTTGCTTTCACCGAGTTTTTCCCTCCTGTTCAGCCAAGCAATGGAAATGAGCTCAGCGCGACGGCGAAATGCCACACGGGAAAGCACCGCCACTCTAAAATCATGGTTGCAAGAACACATCAAAAACCCTTATCCGACAAAAGGAGAGAAAATTATGCTGGCTATCATTACTAAAATGACGTTAACCCAGGTGTCCACATGGTTTGCCAACGCAAGGCGTCGACTGAAAAAGGAGAACAAGATGACTTGGACGCCGAGGCATCGAGGCGAGGATCTAATCGAGGAGGAAGATGAAGCCGATGACACAGATGGGCCAGTCTCGGAGGATGGATCAAACGCATTGGAAGACGAGGCTGAGTTTACCAAGACAGACTCTGTTTTACGAAATCCCGGTGAAGACGAATCCAAACTCACAAGCCGAACCACCCACCGTAGGCCTACTGATGTGTACAAAAAATGTGATCATGAAAACAAGTTTGTTAACACAATCGTCGCGTCAGTGGCAGCAGGGAAGACCCCAAACCACAAACGGCTGCTTCCAAACGAGCCAGTGTTCTCCACACGATCGAGAAATCCGATGTTGGAACAAGTCACGCTATCGCCACATGTGTGCCAGCAATCGAAAAGGCACGCTTGTGAACAAGATGCATTTTCTCATGAACAGGACGCGAATAAAAGAGATAGTGTTGAGGTGCTAAAACCATTGAGTGACTCAGAAACTTCTCGATTAGAAGAGGACCATATGGTACTGCTAGAAAGTCTGCACCGGGCGGCAGAGCAGGCCATGGAGCGATCGGCTCACCCGTTTGTCGAAACATCTCTCAGAACCGCGCTGATTCCCTCAAAAGTTTTTAATAGTGAGTTATCTAAAATGCTCTAATTTTGAATAAATATGGTGCAGTGGGATGAAGAACTATAGATGCGGGTGGCTGTTCCTTTTAATGAAAACTGCTTGGTCGAAGCGTTGAAACTTTAGACATTTATTTTTACCCCTGGGTTTGTTGGTCGCCAGCTTGAGAGGTGTTTACTGACTGACTTGGGAAGTATTGCAACTGCAGCGAGTGTACAGGATGATGATAACTGTTTAACCCTTCCCCCATCGACTGGCTGTAATACACCCGGAGACCACCATTGCTTGATGACAACTTGAGCACACTCCACTATTCCTCACCATAGGTATGGTAGACGTACTCATTGGTCAAAAGTTGTCATCAGTGTGAAACTGTGACATTTACTAAGATTGAATCTATTTTCCTACAGACCCCACTAACTGGCTGTAACACACTTGCGCAAATTTCACACCATAATACCAAGGAACCATAACAGCAGACGTGGTTTCAGCTGCAAAGCTGAAAATGGATAATATAAAGAAGTTCAAATTCCATTCGAAATTTCATTGGGGCCATTGGCGAAAGATACTAATGTTTCTGAGACTTAAACAAAGGAAAACAAGAAAATGGTGGGAATGTTTGAACTTACTCTGACAAGACATTAGTAAGAATAGCTTTGCTTTGAAGTGCAGTTTGTTCTTTGTGGATGGAGGCCCCACATTGTTCACGCTAGGAGTTCGTCTTCCTGTCTTTCTTGGATGGACAAAGAGAACGGCGCTTTGTTTTTGAACATCTTCAGTACTTTTCCCTCTCTTAACAGTTGTTGCGCAGGTTTGTGGTATGGTTAGGTCTGGTTTGATGGATTGCAAGACAGTTGTGACGTTTTGTCTCACACTGCTGCCCTCCTCTTAATCTGACCGATTATGGAGGATCTTCTCACATTTACATTGAATTTTTGGTGGTGAAGTTGTTGTCTGTAGTGACATTCCGGCCAATTTCCAACTAGCTCTTACCTTTTGTTTGCTGTAAATGTAGACTGATGCTGATGTCAAACTGTGATGGTAAAACATGTTGCATACTGTGGCAAGAATTTCTAGATGGCTGAACAGCATAGCATGACTTGAAACAAGGGAGATCACTGCTGATCTAGTTTGTTGTTAGCTAGGTAAAGTTGCTAGATAATGCCAAGTTATTAACAGCGAATAACAGTTCCGAATTAATATTAAGTAATGGAAAGGCCATATGCATGTTATACACCCAGTTGCTAGAAATAGGCACCGTCACATTATTGCTAGTTTCTAGTTTACACCAAGTCGTTGATATGAAATATGTTGGTGAGGAAAGTGTAAAATGTGTATTGGCACATCCAATTCGTTCTACGGCTTGTCGCCAAACCTGCCAGTGATAGCATTACGTACCGTTCACGTCAGCGTACTGACGCAGCAGAGTTCTTAAGCTGTGGGCCAATTCGCTGACGCCGTCGCTAACCTTGGCTGCGTTCTCATACTTTCGGATTGCAGTCAACACAGAATGGTAAATGTCAACCCTTGTATCGGGAGCTACAATGGGCTGTGGGTGTGTAAATGCTGTATGGGCCTGATCTTGGTGTGTAAGTGCGTGGGTACAGTCAGAGCTGGCACCGGAAGCCCATCTCTTGGGCTCTTGTAGCCGCGGCAAACGCCAACTTCAAGACAAGTGAAAATGTCGAATATACCGGTCCACATGCATGCAATTTGAAGTGAAAGTCGGTTTTTGGAAGCAGAAACACCAGTATGCACTCGTTGTGTTCACTTTTCATGAAAATGATCAACTGATTAAGACGAAGCCTACTGCACACGTATGCTTTTCTTCTCCAAGTATGCCATCCAAGGAGTTCAGCATGGGCGGCTACGCACCGGGACCTGCTGACTTAGAACCACGTATAGGAGCTGCATTGGGTATGCTGGTGAAGCGTTTACTGTTTCTTCCACACTCCAGTGAGGACCCGAATATACGGTATAATCGGGTATAAAAGAACCACATTATAGTGGGCATTTTACAACCGGATCCAGCTAGTTTGAGCTTAGCCTTTTAGGATTAAGTTATATACTAGTGGGTGACGTTGCAAACTGCTTATTCTCGTCCAACTCAGACATCAGGTTGTAAATGTCTATCTAGGACTATTGCATGGTTATTGGTGGCTCGAAGATTTACTGGCTTGACCACATGGTCGCCAGCTCGGGTTATTTGCATGTGACTGGTATACTGTCACATGTATGTGTGGTTTGAGCTCCTGCGCTCTCCTTTCGATGGCCAACGACTGAATCGGTGTGTGCATATGTGTGTGTGTGACGGCTTCACTAAGCTGTCTACTTTCACTAACTGTGATCCTAGCCAGTGGTTGACAATACATCTAGAAGTGCCCATCGTACGAAATGTCTTGCGTGATAGAAGTTAATGTTGCACACCACAGGATTTTATGCTACCCGGTTTTGCCACGATTAATACTGTTGTTTTTCACTTTGCTGAATAGTTGTTGCGACTTATACAAAGTGGATAGACACACGGTAAGATTAGCAAGAGCATAAAACGCCATTACCTGGAAAAGCCTGGAGCGGTTACACAAAATAAACTTGCCTCATTCCGTGTCATATCTATCTCCTCATCATTAGCCTTGTACTGGTAGATCCCAAATTTGAAACTTTTTGAAAGCCGTTATAGTACATTTACCGTCCTGTTCCCTGTGTTGAATTGTCTAACTGATCTCAGACTTTAATTAAACCAAACCTGTCTTACCCACCTTCTTAACTCAGGTTGCTCTAAACCATACGGAATACCCTCGTCGCCTGGAGCCACCGATTCGATCACATCATCGTTAGGAATGCCCTATTCAACCCATTCAGATAGCGCTCATTCTCTTCCATTTCATGTATCATTACACAACCCTAGAGATGGTTGGGAGATAAGATCTAACCGACAGACTGCTGACATCAGCTCAGTCGAGTCTCCAAAGTATGAAGCTTTGACACTCTCGCTTTCCGGCAAAATGTGCAATACCGCAAGCTCGTCCATCACAACGAAATGGGACTTCCAACCGTCTTCGTTAGAGGAATTCGACTCAAGTCGGTATCCCGCTGCAGATGAGCGATACAAGCAACAATCATGCAGATATTTACAACGCGAACAGCCCGATTCTTCCGCTCTGCTATCGTATCGTGCCGGTGCGCACGAGAGCGATTCACCTTGTTCTGATGGTCCACCACCGAACAATAATCTCCAAATCGCCCAACCCAGTAGCACCATAAATCAAAGTGAGCCACTGCACTGGGCAAACGACTGCATCGCGAGGCCTCGAGTGAGTGGAGCTCAAGAAGATGGTGTATCGGCAGTGGAGTTTGGCGGCCACACGACACGAGCTACCCTTTATGAGAACACGGCATGTAATAATTTTCCAATTACTTTAAACGTTACTTCTTCTTCGTCGTGGCCAAACAACCAACCAGGTGAATCGCATCTTTCTTCCTCTTTTTACCAGACGCACCTCAGTAATCTATCCGCCATGGGAGCGAATTATCGTCCCTTTTCTCCTTTTCAGTTCACTCCCTCTAACGGTACACAGTTCACACTGCCGTCATAATTCACATAAAGGGCAGTACGCATAGAATTAGTTGCAATGGATGTTACCACACGTTGTACAGAAGCAAATTCCCCTTCTAATTTAGCTGCTCTGCAGTCACAACCAAGTGCAAACAGGTTGTCTGGTTTTCGCATACTTCTCTCAGTGTTCGACACCCGAATGGCTGCATGCTGATTTCAAAATGAACAAACCGAATCTGTGATTTGAGAACGTGCTCCAAATTACCCCCCGAAGCCCAGATCTTAAATGAGTGAATGAGTGAATTGCTTTTATAATGCGACACATGTGATTACGTGAAATTTTGCATTAATGTATCAGTTTTTATGATGATACATGGGATACGAGCAGAGCTTTTTAATCTATCCCGTTATTAGTGTGAACGTTTACCTAGTTACTTTACTAGAAATTCGCGTACTCATATCAAGTGTTGGTTTGTTCAGTCGCGGATGAGGTTCGAAGCGATACAGTCCCATTCTTTCAGTTGCCATAGACGCCGAATTTTGTCATCAGTCAGTCAGCTGCAATGAAACAATGCAACGGAGCAATGGAATATGACGAGTAAAAAGTAAATGCTTGACAAATCCCATAGGATGGTTAGGGTGAAAGTTACAAGATAGAAAATGATTATCAGTAAAAGTACGCACAAGATATGGGACACACCAAGCGGTTTGGAATAGTACAGTGGTGAGTATTCCTGCCTAGCGTTTAAGATGAATAGGAGACCGTACAGTGTTCGATTTATACTCATGCTATCGTCCGATGGTCATGGGCTATGGTACTTAGTGTAAATATGTCAGTGTATCATCAAGTTGCTTTTTGAAGAACGATAACCTGAGGGCATCGATTAACTGTGCCGGGACACACGGAGGGAGAAAAGGTTTCCACGACACCCCAGCCAGTTGTACTCCTAGCCAACTTAGACTGTTGATCACTTAGAGACGTGTTTTGACTCAGTTTCAAAAGCTGGTGGCTTGTAGTTGGGCATTGTTAATATCCACTGTTTCATTGTGAGATCATCCCGTAGGCGCGGATAACTCCCGCTGTACACTATCAGTTTTCAGCCTGAGTGGGTAAGGAAGGCGGGACAGATCTCTGATGTTCTTGGTCGTCGTGCGATTGCGGCGAGTTGGCGCTTCCGTCAGGGTTGCCACGCTTGGATAGCGTATTCCGCGTGCAGCCTAACATACCCGCCAAGCATTTGCGCAAAGTTTGATGCATCGAACTTCCCGAAGGCCATGCCAAGGCTGCCGAAGTGTTGCTTTGCTTTCTTTGATACCTTCTCACTCTGCTGCAAATTACCAAGGTTATCCTGCAGCAGCACAGCCAGATCGCAGTCATGAGAAGCCAGCTATAGAATTGTGGACATAGTCAGTAGTTATGAGTACTTTAATGGCGTATGCTCCAAACATTGCATTTGGCGGCTCTAAACTGCAGCTTGTTCCCCAAACACCATATGTACCTTTTATCCAGATCATTTTAAAGAGCTGTGTGATACTCCAGTGTAGTGATAGCACAGTATAACTTTAGGTCATCGGCGAATGAAGGAAATTCGCAGATAGCACGCTCGCGAGACCAGGAATAGGTGGGGCTCGAGTACCGAGCCCTGAGGTACGCCCTACTAGATTTCGATTAGTTCGGATAGGATGCTGTGAACCCTCACGTTCAGGTATCGTTGAACGAGAAAGTCGCCTATCCAACCCGGAAGGGATCGCCGATTTCATAAATCTGAAGTTTGTGAAACAAAACGCAATGATGCATACCGTCAACTGCCTTTGATAAATTTTAGTCTGCGGCATCTACTCGTACATCAGCATCCACAGATTCCGTCCAGCTTGCACACGCTATAAACAGAACCGATTTTGGTGAAATCCGTGCTGCTCAATAGTGCGAAATGTGTACTCTCCAGGTACTGTATGATTGTCTACGCGACAATGGATTCCATGATCTTAGAGATTACCGGAAGTAGAGTTGTCGGACGATAATTCAGCAGTTCTGGCGGCTATCACTGTTGTGAACTGGAGTGATGATCCAGTGCTTCCAAATCGTGAGGACGTGCATCTCGTTAAGAAATCGATGAAAAAATATTTCTAATGGTTCATCTAAACTCACGACGCTACTTTCAACGCCTTTGGGCGAATACCGTATGCACCAGGCCAGCTGTGCTCGGCAAGGACTCCGACTGCTTCATTATATCTGTGGTTGGAGAGGACAAGTAGTTAAGTCCTGATGGTGGCATGCTCTGCGTATGCATAATGTAAGGTGACAGTAGGTCTAGGAAGATAAGGGCAAATGTTTGGCCGCCACTTGTGCCATTTGTGCTAGCACGTATACTGGGTGCAGAGCAAGAACTGCGCGCTTAACTCTACGAAGTTTGTGCACATATCTCTAAAATAGCATGGGATTAGAGCAAAATTTTATCACAAGGTCCTCTCGGTACTTTACTCTCCCGGGCGAGTTTGGCGCAGTGGTTCATTAGCGTTGTATGGATATCCAAGGTATCCTAGCTCGGTGAGGCTATGTGGGTGATTCAAATCAAATCTGTCAGTACATTTACGAGTCTTGTTCCTAAGAAACGACTTCATCTTTTTCAATTGGCAGATTTTGGTTGCGGATGGGCTCACGACTGGCATGTTGAACCCGTCGCCAAATCCTCAAGGCCACTTCAGTGGAGCATTCGGCTAGGAAGCAACAGATAGCTGCAACAATAAGGTCGGCCAGGTTATCGTAGTTGCCTACGACGTGAGATTCTTCGGTGCTATCTTTAAGCGATACTGCGTAACATATTCAACAGAGCACTAGTATCACATGATCGCTACGGCCAGAAGTATTGAACGCTCTTACTACGCCGCTTATCAGTTCATCGTTGATAAAAAGGAGGTCCAACCTGGTCTGTTTTTTTCCTTCCTAAAGCGCGTCGGAGAACTTACATGGCTACACAGTGGAGAAGTAGCGATGAGCTCTTGCATTTCTGCCTTGAACTGCTTAACGAGAGTTGCAGGGGTCGCTAGGGCTTGCAGGCTGAAGTCCCTACCAGGAGAACGTGGATGCAGGGGCGCACCCTTAGGTTCTCGATAGCGGAGACTAGAATCTGAGCCATTTCTAAAGTGCATAATGCTGGGCGGTACCCAGTGGCCACCAGATATGTATCGTCGTGCCTTAAGAGTAGGTGTCACCATAAGTGCTCTAGGGTTCGAATCTCTGGGCCGTTTGCCTGCTCGGTGTGTAGGTCAGAACGGTAATAAAGTATGAGATCACCTCCCTTAGTGGGTCGATCGTTGCGCAAGAATGACATAGCAGACAGTAAGCTCTCAGCGTCGGTAAACAGGTCGTTCAGTCATGTCTCAGTTAACATGATGAGATCTCAACACACTGAGGCTTGACGGATCGAAGCTCGGCCGATTTATTGAGAAAGTCTTGGGCTATGGACGATGGAAGTGTGTCGGTACACCCAAACGTTTCCTGCGAATTCGCGCGGACCTTTGTGTGGTTGTGTACAGATCCACCGTAGGTACAAGTATCTCACTTCTGGTTGCAATCATATTTCCAAGTAAACCAAGAAAAGCCATCAACAACTAGTTGTGCCGATCTTAACCAGATTGCCTATGAGATATTACAGTAATGAAGCAGGATGCACTGCTCTCCGTTCTTTGTGCAAAACAGTGGTTTTAAACTAGGGTGGTGTTAGTTTCTGGTCCAATTCCATATCGGGCAACAATGCTTGTCTGGTTAAGGCAACAGGGATAATAATCACAAAGCGCTTTTTGACATGCCACAAAGCCGAAATGTTTTCGTTAGCATTGTCCGGGCTGTTACAAGCTTTTATGCATGTACGTATCAGGGTGCATTGATAATTCCTACTAATGTTTCCCTACCATACAACCGCCTGCCGTTCTATACTGACTGGTGTAATACGAGGTTATCCGCACCCACGCAGCTTAGAACTAAAGACTCATGAATTAAACCCGACCTTGTGAATTACAATCATCACTGAAACAACTGTAACACTTTGACGAAATGTACATCCAACCAAATAGTTTAGTTAGTACCGAATAACAAGTCTCGTAGTTGTGCAGTGCAACCCACAGGGATGGATCAGCAGCAACGGTGTATGACTTCTATCAATATTTCTCCATGCAACCGGCTAAATTGTGCTCCAATGTGAGTAGACACCGACGAGTAAGCTGTGAAACTGCGCTGCGATCTCCTGCGCATCCTGGTTTTCATTGTGGAACTATTTGTTGCTGTCTTGACTGCCTTTGAAATTGTGGCTGCGCACTGTACCCACACGCAGTCAAACAAACTGGATACAGCACGAACAAAGTTTACGTAAGCTTTTTAGGCTTGTTTGCTGAGTTGAGCTGCAACATAGCAATATGTTTAAATATCAGCAATTAAGCAAACTTGGTTAAGATTGTTGACACTCCGGCTTAATGGAAACACAACATACACATATCACTCAGCAATGAAACACAATGTCCAGTTCTTTATGGAAAACAGATAAAAAGGACAATAATGGTTGGTTAAAGGTTCCTTTTGGAGTACTGAATGTGTGAATGGATTGCAAGGTCTCATGAGCGGCCCATTCTGACGCAATCACATAAGGGACCAATGGCTAACCTGGAACCGTCTTGGCTGGTGGCATTCGTGTGGAGAAATATTTAAGCTGAGTACAGCGACGGGATGCACGTGCCAGCAGGGCAACGAAAGCTGCCTTGCGCCGAGATACCCACAATTCTAGCTTCATACTTTCGGTCTACTGTTAGCCTGAAATGAAAGACAGCTATGCCTGAGGATAGTAGTCGCCATCGATTCCGACCCCTTCTTTAACTTCAGTACCGCTACTGGGCGATTGGGGAAAATAGGCTTACCCGACACACGCAAGTGGTTGGTTGAGTAGTCGTCTGCCCCACGATAGAGTCATTCTTGTAGACCACTAATTTCATCAAGAAAATGCACACGAATAAACACCAGGGTTCTGGAACCTGTAATTTGAGTGATTTCCGCTACCAACAACGTCGCACGTGGTAAGCCACGAGGGTCCAAACACCAAATACAAGCGTACCGCATTTGTCACTGGAGTATAACACATATTCCACCGTAACTACAACGTGTACGCTTACCTCAAATGAAATCCCATGGGGTTTTGTTGAAGTGTTCCCCGTACGATTACTTTGTGACCCATGTTGGTTAAGAAGGTACTGGCTCAGTGAGTTGCATTCAAGTATTTGGTCAAAACGGGTAGTTTTCGAAAAAATCCAGCAAATGGTTACTGACTAAGTTGGCCTCTAGCAACATCTGTTTTTGCACCAATGCCTCGAACTAATGTAACTAGATAATTGAATGCTTTC